AAGAGGAGGAACATCTCTTATATCTAAGAAAAAGAAAGATAAAGATATTAAAAAAAGATATACTCTTAAAAATCTAAGAATATTAGATAGTTTTTACTAATACTCTAAATTGTTTTAGTATAAACGGGCACATCTAGTAATACTTAGTATTTTAGGAAAGTCTTTTAATAAAGATACTATTAATAAAATAAGAATAAGATATTACACTACTACTATAGAGCTTATAGCTTTCTATCTATTATTAACTACTCTAATAGCTAGAGTTTAACTAACTAAAGTGTATATAAGAATTTAGTCTAGATAATATTCTAGTTCTTTAGAAATCTCGCCTTCTATTTTACTACCTTAATTAGGTACCTCTTTTTATTATCTAAGGTTCTATATAAACTTCTACCTACTTCATTAGTAAGTACTACTTCTTTTAATAATATTAACTCTTTAAGAAGCCTCTATATTTAGGAAATACTTTAGCTTCTTTATATAACTCTCTCTTCTTTTTTAGTTTCTATAACTTACCTTTTTTAATAACAAGGCTTCCTTATAAGAGAGTACTTATTAATTTTAGTTTTATCTTAGCTTTAAGAGCGGTTTTCTTACCCTTTTATATTACTAAACTATTCTTTTATTAATAACTATATACGCTTTTATTATACATTAGATATACTTACTAAATTTGATTCCTTCTATTAGCTCTAATCATTATATTTTCTTTTTATAAATTGCTACCCTTAGTAGAGCTACTTACGCTTATGTATATAGTATTATATTAGGTATAGTAAAACTAAGTAACTTCTATAGCTTTAGTAGAATCCCTATATATATTACTAACCCTTTATACTTATTTAATACACTTTAAACAGCGAGCTAGAAGCTTCTATATTATTATTTTTTAATTTCTATTTATTTTACCTACTTTGTAAAAAATTATTATTTTTAAGTATTTAGGGGCAGCGCTAGTCCTATTTAGGCTTAGCTCAAATTAAGAGGCATTATATATACTATATTACTTATAAGGTAATAAGAATAATAATATAGAATATAATACTATAATAATATATTTAAAGTTCTTCCTATTATTCTTCTATATCTTTAAAAGAATTAAGTTTATTTATTTCTTCTTTAAACTAGCTTTATATATAAACAGCTATATATCCCTTCTTATATATAAAGATATCTATAAGTAATAGGTAAGATAAACTTATAACCTTCTACTATTAACTAAAAGTTCCGCTAGTTCTAGTTACACTTAAGAATAGATAGTTATTACTATCTAATAAAAATATTTTAGAATTAAGGACTAGGTTCTCTACTTCTATTATAACTATATAATAAGAATCTATACCTTATAGCTCTATACCTTCTTTTTCTAAATTTAAGTTACTATTAAGATTAGTTCTTACCTTTTATACTAAAGTAACTTCTCTACTTATACTAAATAGAATAATAAGCACCTCTAGAGAGTAAGTAGTATAGCTATTTAGTCTTAGGCGATTATAAATACCTAAAGAGTTAAGATATTCTAAATATTCTAAGAGTCTTACTCTAATTTTATATTAAAATCTAGCACTTAACTAAGCTCTTTAGAATATAAGTATTAAGCTATAAAAGAATAATTTACTCTTTAAGAACCTAAGTTTTTAGCGCCTCTAGAATATAAGCTACCTTATAAGTATTATAGGTTAGAAGAATATATACATTAGTAAGTTTTTATTATTACCTTTAACTAAATAATATATAGTAGCTTAGAAGATTAATATCTTTATCTAGTTAGAATCTAAGGCACTTAATATTCTAAAAAATAAGCTATACTTAGTAATACTAGTTTTAGTAGAGTACTTATAGAAGAAAAAGTAAAGAGAAGTAACAGCCGCCTTTAAAAAGAAGTAGACCTTAATAATTAATTACCTAAAAGATATCTAAGAGTATATAGATTAATATTTAGATAATATGAAGATGCTAGATTTAAAGTACTACTTCTAAAAATATAATTATAGCTATTAGTAGCTATAAATTATTAAAGAATAGATTATAGATAGAGTCTTAAAGTAAAATACTATAAAGTTAATTAATAACTATATTCTATAATAATTTCTTCAGCTAAATTCTAGGGAAGTAGCTATATAATAGTTTATATATAAGAAGCTAAGCTAGATAAGATACTAAGCTAGTATAATTATTACTAAAAAGGTAAATTTTAAGATCTAGAGTAATAGATAAGTAATATATAAGGGATTATTAAAGCTCTAGATAGTTTACTATTTCTTCTACTAGTTACTATAACTAGTATTTAGGCTACTTTAAAGAAAAATAGTAAGAAGTACTAGAAGAGTAAGTTACCTAATTTATTACTACTAAAGAATATAATAAGATTCTAAGATTAGCTCTAAAATAGAAAGAGAGTTATAGTTCTAGACTATAAAGAGATAGAAAGTAGATCTATATATAAAGAAAAGAAAAAGAGTAAGATAGTAGAGAAGATAGATTAGCTAGGCTTAGTATAAGAGAAGAGACTTCTAAGATATAGTTTTTCTATTATAAAAAGCACTAAGGTTATAGCTTACTAATATTTAGAATATATTTTAGTAGATTTTCTTAATTTAATAGTATTAGGGTCTACTCTTAAGAGTCTAGAAGAGGATAATACTAACTAAATACTTAAGGCTTAACTTAAAGAAGTAATTAATTTCTAGCCCTTTAAGAAGGAGCTTTATACTATTTATATCTAGAAACTTAGTAAGCTTTTAAAACTATAAACTAATATACTAGTTATATTAAGAAAGAGGGTAATAGTAGGTGTTATATATATAGTAATATAGGGTAAAATAGTTCTTTCTAGATTAAAATAGCGCGAACTACTACTAATCTAACCTAGTAGATAGTTCCCTCTATATACTCTAAGTGCTATTAGCTACTATAGTCTAATCTTAGCTCTTTCTAGCCTAGACCTTAGTAATATTAGAAGAAAAAAGGCTAATATAGCTCTAGCTACTAGTAGATAGTATAGTAGATTAATCTATAATATACTATATAGTTTAGGCTTCTAGACTATATAGGCCTAGAAGTCTAGTTTCTATAATAAATATATTACTAGTATTTTAAGAAATAGAAATCTTATCTATTTGTAAATAGTAGAAACTAATTAATATAGTCATAGAGCTAGTCTAATACTTTTAACTCTCTATAATTATCTAGCTACTCTATCTAGCTAATATTCTCTATATATAGTAATAGCTCTATATTCTTATATATCTTCAATATAGCTATAGCTATCTTAGAAAGCTATATCAGTTCTCTAAAGAATAACTTAAAGGTCTTTAGATAATTAATTATAAGATTATTCTCTACTTCGGCTTTTAGTATAGGGTTAATATCTTTTCTATAATCGGAGGTATACATAGCGCTAGCCGAATTAAAGGACTAAGGTATCTACTAAAAGAAGGCAGTAAAGGACGAGCTGGACTAGAGAGATGTATTTAGTCTAGCGACGAGTGTAAAGAGCGCGTTGTAAATCTCTAGGTCGAATATATAGCTATCTACCTTCTCGAATATTAGGATAATCCCTTATACGTCGAACTCGCCTGAATCAATCTGAGATCCTAGGTTGAAGAGGTCCATTAAGAGAGTTCCACGACCGATACGGGACGGAAGGGCACGAGATAGCGGGATGGATTACAGTGCTAGAATGAGCTCGAGCGCTAAATCTCTGGCGCCTACACAAATTAGCTTGGAGTTAGCTAGAACTTGCTCTGACTCGCCTGTCCCAGAGGTTTCCACCAAGTGCCTGACTTCAGAGATACCGAGATATTTGCATTTCGCTCCGAAGAGACGGCGAAACCCATCCAACTCATTTCCGATCGGGTTCTTAGCAATAATGTCCGCATCGGTGAGGACACTCATCGTGCAGGAGCTTAGATGAGCCAAGACACTTAGCTATGCATGTAGGAGAGTAGGTGGACGTATGTGAGTGAGAAAGCGAGGAACGGACGGGCGACGCGCAGGTTGCCTTTAAAACGCCTCGAAATTACTTCGGTCACGTGATCATGCTGCCAAGCTCCGCTCTAGCCCACCCCCTTGCGTGTGCCATCAAATATCAAGACGAGAGCAATATCCCCATCAGAACGATCTTTTTGAGAAAGACGGCCCCGCCTTCTCCAAAGACAATGATGAGAGAGATGATGGAAGAAGAAAGGGAGGAACGGCAGAGGACTTTGGATCGAATTAAGGACTGCTCTGAAGAGACTAGGCCATGGTGGGCTGATTTCTTAGTTTCAAACCCGTGTCGATACTTACTGTGATAGCCCTGAACGTTCCGAGAGTATCAGCATGACTTGTTTTCGCAGACAACATTTCCACTGGTGTACGGTACACGAACGGATGACGGATGAGATTGAAACGGCACGAATATCTGCTCCGCCTACTTGTTGCCTTAAAGTGAGTAAGCAGCTTGCCGCTTGGACGACGAAGATGCGCCCAAAATACTATAACTCTACTCAGCACAGCGGTCCGGGAGTCTTTGTTCTACTCATGGAAAGCAGTCTTTTCACCTGCCAAACTTCTTCAGCTCCAACCACCTCATCGGCGGATACGTAATCAGCGTGAACCCACAACCAACCCACATCCCAACATCTCCGCCGGTATCGCCAATCAGAACCGCCAGTGGGCCAACATACCACAACTGATACATGCCCAAGATGGCGCCCATCCACCCGAGCAAGAAGCTAATCAACGCCGCGACTCCAATCGGCAGCTTTCTCCTGTCTTCCCATGCAGCCCAATCAAAGCCGCCGAGGCGCGGCTTGAAGATGAGGTGCTCCTCAAGGACGATGCACACCATGATCATCAGCCAGTAGCCCATGAGGGCCAGAAAGTTGGTAAAGATATGGAACAGCTCGTTGCGACCGGCCAGCGCGCAAATCAATTGGATCACGACCAGGAAGGTCGCCCAGACCCAACGCGGCACGGCCTTGCCCCAGCGCCCCATTGCCTGGCAACCCAACGCGGCGCTGTACGTGCCAAGAATGGAGTTCGCAATGACGCCGAGCGCGACGACGACGGCGCAGAACTTGCCGAAGCCACCGAGAGGGCCGTAGCCGGCGGTGATGAGCGCGCCGGACGAGATGTGGTACGCGTCGGACCAGGCGGGCGTGGTGGTGACGCCGGAGGCGAGGCCGACGCCGAGCATGTTGACAAAAGAGAAAGAGAGCGTGAGCCCGGTTAGTGTGAGGCAGAAGATCTTCCACTTGGTGGTGTTTTCGGGGTAGTAGACGTAGAAGTCTGATGCTGCTGCTGCCCAGGAATTCGGGACGTAGAAACATAGGGAGAAGAAGGAGAGGCGGTTTGCAGCGATCTGGGCCGTGCTGCCAACGGATTGGAGGGAGGTGTCAAAGTTTGGACCTGCGGAACCGACGAGCACGAAGAGAACGATGATTTGAGGCAGCCAGGCGAATCTACCATTTGCTATTAGCGTTTATCTAACACTATCGCAAGAGAAGGACTTACGTACCGCTCGTAAAGGTGGAAAACGGCAAGACCGAAGACAGCGATGATGCAGACGCCAATAGCGACCACGACGATGCCGACAGCAATAGTCATGCTGCCCCCGCTGACTGCCGAAAGCATCTGACCACTGATGATGCAGGCGAGGACGGCGTATCCAAGCATGAGAATGATGTTGAGGAAGGTGCAGATCTTCGATGGGTAGTAGCCCATAAAATATCGCGCCACGACCTGGAGATTCAGTAAGAGCCGTGATACCTTCCACTACGTGGTTTCCATCTCCCGCTTCCGGGACATTCTTATCAAGTAGAAGAGGAGTAGAGCGAGCACAGGGTAGGAAATCAGAGTCATAATCCCGATTTTGACAATCTTTACAAAACCGGGTGAAACGATGGTTGAAGAAACTCACCATAGTCCGACTCCCGCTCTCTGCACCCCATGTACTCAGATACGCTGTGGACATGGCACCCAAAAATGCCCCAAAAACAGCGCACAGCGCACTATCTGTAAACCCCAGACTGAAAACTAGCGGCCCCAGTAAACCCACAGCAAGGTTGTTAATCGTGATGTTTGCGCTGAACCACAGCAGCATCATCTGGATATATCCAGTTGTAGAGGGCGCCTGCCTCTCTTCTGGCGGGACGCGAGCAATGCCGCGAGCCTCGAAGCCAGCTAGGTTCTCGATGCGTGTGTTCCATCGCTTAAAGCGGCTGGGAACTGGTAGAGTAGTGGAGGGCGAAAGGGCAGACGAGACGTCAGCGGTGATGTTTTTCTCGACATCTACGTTTTCTGGCGACGTGGAGGTGGAATCAACTTTGGAATTCATAGTGAGAGTGGTGCACAGCTTCATCAGCAACAACAGGGGCCAGGAAGGCGGATGGCTATCACCTGGCTATGACCATGGAAGGCGAGGTAAGTTATAGAGAAGGGAAGCTGATAGTCAGGCAGGAGCGGGGGTGAGGTGATGTAGGAATTGAGGTGGTGTCTTAATAGTAAGCGGAGACGCATCTCACCGGTCTTGGTTTCTACGTTATCTAGCCACGTCCGATAAGCAGACACCTGTTTGGGGGCCAAGTTGGATCCTGGCTTTTTACGCGGGCAAACCAGGTGACAATGTGGGAGGCGAATCTTGTCACCGATACTCGGGCCCAAGTCACGTCCGAAAGCCTTGGAGATTGCAGGTTGCTTACCGTGGAACGCAGCCCTAGAGAAGACGCAAAACATTTCAGATCGCACCGTAGTGGCCGCGCGTAGCCAGCAAACGCTAGTGTTGCCAAAAGTTCGATTGAATCTGGAGTTGATCCAATCAATCTAGAGCGGATCGATCGGATCGAGTATGGATCCAATCTGTAACTCTACTAGCTAGCTTTATCCGGGGCTTCCGACGTAGATCTGGGGCTTCCGATATAGATCCGGAGCTTCTAAACCGCGGCACCTAATATCTTGGCGTCTGGAAGGTTCCGGAAGTCTTAACTCATGTCAAGACCAAGATGTATTTAGCTATATACAGCTAGCTATAAGCCACGTGGTAAGCGTGGAGTAATTCAGACTCGAGCTGGATAGATCGATTCAGAGTCAGCTCGAGTCTAATCGATCTGTTAGCAATACTGGCAAACGTATAGTACAAGGGCATCGAAGTTGAACTCTGCATCTCCACATGGTAATACCTAGAAACCTCTTGCTTATTAAGAGAGCCAACGTAAAGACGTAAATATACGAGGCGCAATACTACATCCTATATCTACTATCTATCTAACGCGCGCCTCCGAGGGTAACTATATTCTAAGAAGCTATCTATATAATAGGAATCTGGATTATAGCGAGATAGATATATATATAGAGAATAGAAGGATTCTGGCTCTATATACACCTATTATAAAGGAGTAAGGGATTATTTTAATAGCTTTTTCTTAATATTCTATACCAAGAAGAAGCTCTAGCTTCTAAGGTTTTATAATGTTTTTCTAAAGGATATACTACCTAATAGTAATAACGCTAGAAGTATAGTAAATATAGCTAGAGGGATTCTTTCTTTAAGAATAGCACTTATATTATAGAGTTTATCTATATCCGATATGGCGCTTCTGGCTGCCGTAGTAACAATAAATAGGATTACAAATAAAAAACGCACAGTACAATAACACACATAATATTGGTATCCTGAAGAAAGCCAATCAACCTACACTAAAGCCGGTTACCTCCTGCTTGGTCACTAATCTCAAGCCAAGTGGTGATCGCTGCTGAGGCTGGGTCTGATGTTTGCAGATGCTAAAGCATGCAATAGCCGGTAGGGACATAATTGGCGATATCCATGGTAATCAAGTTTATATCTACCCGATAACATTCCACAGATCGACCTTCTAGGTCCGTTACCAGATGACGAAGCTACTCCGGTACCCCTGCAGTCTGAAGGAGCCCGAACAGCAAGATACAGCATATCGTTGCAAGCCCCGCCGTCACCAACTTTGACCGTTTCTCCACCACCTTCGGAACATGGTTCGAGAGCAACTAGTCCAGCACCGCCTATCGCACGGGCACGCTCAGCCGACAGGCTCGCATATGAGATCTTACCTGATAGCATCCTTCCACTCCGCCTATCACAGCCGGAACTGGAGCTGTTCTGGGTTTGGCTCTTCTTCAATTCCATGCTTTCATCCAACTCTACCTCGAGCATGTTGTCTTTTGCGCTTATAGCCGAAACTCGCATGGGAAGAACCCCCTTATATATAACTAGTTCTAGAAAGCATTTTCGTATTATAAGCCTACATAAGCGCATGCGCGATCCATTTTTTGCCCATAAACAGCTCACTTGGTAAGCGTTTTCCCGTCCAAACCAGGTTTCAACAATATTGCCCTGAGTTTGTTGAGATTATTGTTCAGTGATTTTCATTGTTGATTTGCCTATGTCATGCTTCACATTGTACCCAAAAGCAATACAGAAGACTGGAGGACACGTTTCGGATCGGCTTGATATCGTGAAAGTATATACATATTGTCAGACACGGCTGCGCAGCTCCCTTCATCAACATCCTTCATCTGAGAAGATGAAGGGCCTCCATGGAAAGCCGAACACTTTCAATGTCTTTACCAGAGTCTATCCAGACAGCTCCAACAATTGCCTCGACTGTAGATGCAAGCGTAGTCCAAGGCACGTCTCCCTATTGACATGGTTCTTAAAGACATGCTTGACCAAGTTGCACTCCGCAGCAAGGTGACTTAGGGCGTCGTTTAAGCCGAGATCACTGACAACATATCTGCCCTCCTCTATTCCAGTCAAGACCACCTCCGGCCTGTAGAGTACGGTCTTACCGGTGCTCGTCCTAGATGGATACCATCTATCTACAACCACCAAGCGGATCAGCGCGTCACCAACCAAAGCAAGACGCTTGTTGCCATGCTTGTCCCTAGCAATATAATCATCTGACTCTGAAGCGCCTGCTGCCTGCAGTGCCTCTTAGAGTAATTGAGGACTAGTAAAGTGATGTTTGATGACGCTTTCAACGGCTCGTTGCTCCTGCATATTCATAATGCGGTTAGTTGTGTTAAGCTGATATCTCGTTAATAGTATGGCAGAGCTTGCAAGAGTAGATATATGGGCGTTAACTACTCCGCATGCTGGATTAAGTTAGCATTAATAGAAATGTCTTACTTTGTTGTGTGCTCCAACATCCTGGCTTGATAACCCTCTGCTCGGCGAAGCTGCAGGCACGAATGAACGGTCAAAGACGTTGCTATTTCTGAACGTTTGCGTTTAATTAGTGATGACACCTCAGGGCTCATACCCGGTATTGATCGTTCTTGACGACTATTAAGGGGCGGCAGCCCCCTTACGTACTACCAATATTAGGTTCTGGAGCTAAAGCGTCGGAGAGCGCGATAATCTTGCAATTTTATACTAACTACAACAACTGGGAAGTGAGTCAATGCTATCACGTTGAACCGGATGGGCCCGAAGCACCTAGAGGGCTCGAAGAACCTGGAGGGCCTGAAGAACCTGGAGGTCCCTGCCTTCCTTGAGGACCGTCGCGACCATCGCGACCATCACGTCCTGGAGGCCCAGGAGGACCATCACGACCGTCCCTTCCTGGAGGACCGTCGCTGCCATGCCTTCCAGGAAGACCAGGAGGCCCGGGAGGACCCGGACTACCGCCGCGGTGATGTGCTCCAAAACGGTGTTGAACAGCAGCTGGTGCACCATGTCTTAGGAGGCCCAACCTCTTGCGCTAGCTCGAGGTAACTTACAGCACTCCAGCAAGCAATTCTGGCGCCAGCTCTTTATTAACAATCGCGACCTCTGAGGTCCGCTGGGCAAAGGTGAATAAGCAGGGTTTTGAGAAGATGGTGCTCAATCCGCGTGGCGCTTACATTGACGAATTGACGAAGTCAATGCTGGCTTTCTTCTACTTTGGCACTGACGAAGCGCTGGCTGAGGGCCTTTACAACTATTACCGGAATCTCTCGGGGCTCTCGGAGACTACGTTATGGCTTGACGGAAATAAGTCTTTCCTAGAGAATGTTTGCTACAGACCATAGTCGCAGCCGATGGTTAGTCCGCATTAGCTGAAGCTTAGCTTTAATCCAAGCTTCAACGTGCGGGATTGGCTAAACTCATCAAAGTGGATCCCTTTCAGCGAATCATACTTCGTTCCAGCTGTGGATATACCCTGCAAAAGAGGCGCGCTATTCATCGGCTGCGAGGATACCCTGTATAGAGACACTGCTTAAGAGGGAAGTCCGGAATCCCCGATTACCAGACACCAGGCACTAGTTGGCAACCAAATCGATGGATTTTTGAGGATGACCCAGCTCGTCGCCAAGCCGGAGAAGCTGCAGGAAGCAGCCGCCTATCGTCGACGAGACCGTTCCATGTAAGGCTTACTGCTTTCGACATGCGACCAGACTGTTCTTACTGGGTCTCCCTTCGGGATGAGTGGGGTTAGGTCAATACGTCACCGATGAGTCGAAGGATTGAAGGAGGTGGCTGAGTTTAAGGCAGCAGGCTTGGCCGATATATTTAGAACATTGGTCAATATGGGAGAGCGTTTTCGGCTTCCCGAGACATGGGTGAGTCAGGGTGAGGGATCGCCCATGCTCGTCCAAAACTCACCTGAAACTCACCCATGCTCATCCATGCTCACCTACCTTATGCTCACCCATTGCTCACCCCGGCTCGCGCGAGTATAGGGCGGCGACGCTCACCCGCTAGAACGGGAGAGGAAGCCCTACAAAGGCTCGCAGATAATCCGTCAGTAGGTAGGAAATTAAATCATTACCTAGGCACCTAGGTAGATTGTTTGCGAGACCCCCGTCGTCGCCTAATGCGGATGATGCCGACTGTAGGTGAGCTCGCTGAGGCAGGACAAAACCCCGCATGGCCCTTCGGCGGCCTGTTTTTGTGGAGATGTATGTATCTAGGCAACTTCTTCCCAAACCCCGCTTGTTCGGATGACAACCTTTCCTTTGGACTCCGAAAGCCCAGATTACGCATCTCATTATGGCTTCAAACCGCGAAAGCAACGGTCTAGATGGCTATCACAGCAAGCTTGACTTCACTGTCAGTTAATACAGAGAGGTATTGTGCATGCAAACCCGCTAATATAGCTGATAGACTTTCCGCAACGTCATTAACAACAAGCTAACATCCACCGCTGAGACCCGCCATGGCATCAATCCTGCCACAGCGGAACCTCTTCCAGAAGTCCCAGTCTCAGTGCAGAAGGACCTTGACAACGCCGTTGCCTGCGCCCGTAAAGCTTTTGAGAGCTGGTCTAAGACGACTGAAGAAGAGCGCGGAAAAGCTCTCCTTTCTTTCGCGGACGCCATCGAAAGCCAGCAAGACGAGTTCGAGCGACTCCTCGTACAGGAGCAGGGCAAGCCGCTCTCAACTGCGCATGTGGAGCTCACCATGGCCATTCAATGGCTTAGGAGCTTCCCCAAGCTGCATCTGACAGAGGAAATCCTAGAGGAGACCGAGGATCGAGTGATCATCAGCAGATACACGCCCCTTGGCGTTGCGGGTGGCATTGTTCCTTGGAACTGGCCAGTACTTCTCGCAGTTGGAAAGATCGGACCAGCCCTCTATACTGGGAACACGATTATCATCAAGCCATCACCATATACTCCCTACTGCGACCTGAAGCTGGGCGAGCTAGGGACGCGGATCTTCCCTCCAGGCGTCCTGCAAGTGCTCAGCGGGGGCGATGATCTGGGGCCTATGCTTACAGAACACCCCAACATTGATAAGATCAGCTTTACCGGCTCAAGCGTCACGGGTAAGAAGGTCATGGAGAGCTGCAGCAAGACTCTCAAGCGTGTGACACTCGAATTGGGTGGTAATGACCCGGCAATCATATGCGAGGACGTTAATATTGAGAAAGCGATTCCAAAGGTGGCCTCTCTCTCTCTTCCTAGGACTCCAATTGTCGATTCCTGCTAACGACTCTGTCTCCAGGTCGCCACCCTCGCGTTCCTCAACTCTGGCCAAATCTGCATGCTTATCAAGCGCCTCTATGTCCACGGAGCTATCTACGACCAGTTTCGCGACGCCCTAGTCGCCTTCTCGAAGACCATCAAGACCGGCGACGGCTTCGAGCCCGATGTCCTCGTCGGTCCGATTCAGAATAGCATGCAATACGAGAAAGTAAAAGCCATGTACTCTCAAATCAAGGAAGAAGGCTGGACTTGTGCTCTTGGCGGCAGTATCCAGGAATTCTCAAAAGGCTACTTCATCGAGCCCGCCATCATCGACAATCCACCCGAGCACTCGAAGATCGTCACGGACGAGCCGTTTGGGCCGATTATCCCAATACTGAAGTGGTGGGATGAGGACGATGTGATCGCGAGAGCTAACGATTCGAAGATGGGCCTCGGAGCATCGGTGTGGAGTGCAGATATTGAGAGGGCGCATCGGATGGCCAGGCAACTCGAGGCGGGGAGCGTGTGGGTTAACTCGCATTTTGATGTAGCACCGGGGGTACCGTTCGGCGGACACAAATGGAGCGGGATGGGTATGGAGTGGGGTGTTGTTGGATTGAAGGCTTACTGTAATCCTCAAACTTTGTGGCTGAGGAAGTCGGAATAAGAAAGCGAGAGAAGGTAGACTTAGCTCACCCTAAGCTCACCCATGCTTACCCAAAACTCACCTCGGCTCGCGCGAGCTTAGCGCGGCGTCACTAACCCTCTAGAACGGGAAAGGAAACCTTATAGAGGCTCGCAGATAATCCATCGGTAGGAAAATCGCCCGACTGTTGGACGAACGAGGGTCCACTCGTCCGACTCGCCCGACAAGCCGTGTTAATAATTTAGATAATTATATGACTAGCTAACCGATTTTAGTAGCTAGCTAGCCGTTTATAAAAAAAAACACTACGAGTCTTTATAGGTGTTAAACCTAGTTTCTTATCTAAATATATCTATCTAAAATAATTTAACTAGCAATTGCGCTATTAATATTCTACCTTATAAACTACTTCTCTAAATCTAACCACCACTCTTATATACTTCTATTAACCTTCCTCTAATCTCTCCGCTAAAGCTACTACTACTACTATAGTATTAATACTATAATACTTCTATAATTAAATATACTAAGTAGCTTAAATAATATTAGAATTAGGCTAGTTATAGTAGTTAGTTACTATTATACTAGCTAAGCTAAAGATACACTCTAACTCTAAGCTTATTACTAGTATTAAGAAGAGATTAAGCGCTATTCTTATAAGCTTTAGGTAGTTATTTAAGCGCTAGATCTAACACATAATAGAATTCTTATATTTAATCCATTTAACCTCTATCTAAGCTGTATATTTATTAATAACTATAATATAACTACTAGTAGTAATAGTAGTAAGCCTCTTAGCTATATTAGCTTTAAATTTATCTATTTCTTATATTAGAGGTTAAATAACTAGTTAAGCTTATCTTAAGCTATATTTATTAATTTAAAGCTAATAAACTCTCTCTCTACTAGCTTCAATCTAATTACTATAGCTCTACTAGCGATTCTTAATATATTACTACTTATACTTTCAATAAAGAATAAGTGTAGTAAGATAGACTAGATTCTTATTAAATAGTATATAATACTAATTTATCTTTTACTAAGTAAGCTTAATACCTATATAGAAGTAGTTCTCCGAATAGTATTTATATAATCCCTTAGTATATTTAAGCTTCTTTAATAGGTGTTTAAAAGCTATAATTATAAACTAGAAGTTACTACTACTAGATCTAGAATACTCTTTAAGACTCTAAGTAATATATTCTATTAAATAAAGTAGCTCGCAATACTATACTAATACCTTCTAATCTTTTACTAAAAGCTAGTCTCTAAAGATTAATATTATAAGCCTATTTATATTCTTTAGTTTATAGCTATTCTATATCTATCTTACGTATTACTATACTTCTCTATTAATAAACTTATTAATAGTATTATAGAGCTAGATACTACGCTTAATTTTATTATAGGTAGAATTCTACTTTATTCTATTATCTTAAATTAAGTTAAAAGGCACTATTAACTAGCTAGTTGTAATAGAGTGCTATTGCGAGATAATATAGGCTACTAGGGTAGTTAGGGTTCTAATTAAGAAGGTAGAGAATAGTACTAAGATATAGTTAATAAGGTAAGGATTAATATTATAGGGGTGAGATTAGATTAAGTTATAAAGAATACTAGATTCTTATTTAAGTTAAGTACACTATTCTAGATAAACGAGAACGGTGCCTTCTATATAATATAGACTATAGTAAGTACCTCTATATCTCACTTTACTCACTCTATCTACTCTACTCGTCTTAGTATACTCTACTATAGATCTAATAGAGGGTACTAAAGTCTATAGAGCATGTTACGTGTTAGCTTATACTAGTTAGAGTATAATTAGTCCGCTAGCTTTTATTTATAATACTATCCCTCTTTTAGCCTAGGCTATATTCTGAAGCCCTAGAATAGTAGGTCGGATAATTATCTAAGCCTGTCCTCTTTCTTTCCTACTATTAGACTATTATATCTGAGGTTCTTCAACCTAAATCTCTTAATAACTCTATTACTTATCGCCGTAAATTAGCTTACTATCTTTATAATAAGAACTCTATTATACCGACTCCTTATAATCGCTGCTCTTCTATAGATTTATTCTATAAGGTTAATCTTTCTTTTAGAAAGTATGCAGAATATCTCTAGTTAAATAAAAGCTATTTATTAGTAGTTACTTATACTAAATATCCGCTTAAACTTTTTTAGCTATATATTATATTCTCTACTAACTTTCTTTAGGGGAAAAGTTGAAGAAAGAGAAACGTAAGCTTTATTATAAGCTATAGGAAGCTAATAACACGGTAGCTACTATATAGCAGGCGGTCACTGCTATAAAAGCTACTTAAGAGTTTCTTTTAGATTCTCTTAAAGATTTAGAAGATAAGTAGAGTATACTAGTATCCTAAAAGCTTTCTTCTATTAAGGAGGTTAAATAGTTAGAGTGGAAGGAGTAGTGTAAGTAGGTTTGAGTCTTTAAAAAGAATTGTACCTTCTTATTAGCTAAGTTAGAGTTGCTACTAGTTAATAATATATTATCGTTCTCGCCTTCTATCTAGGCTATCTAGAATAGTAATTCCTTTTAGCTAGACCCTCCTGGTACTTCTCTATAGCTTGTTTACTTCTATTAAGATTAGTATATAGCTTCTATATATTTTCTAAGTTAGAGTAGTCTTTCTATTTTATAAGGTATTATTATATACTATTATTAAGTTAGTACTATCATCTAGGACCCTTTATACTTTATATTATCCTTCTTATTCTATTAGATAGTTATCTAGTACCCTCGCTAATATAGGTATTTCTATAGAGGCTGGTTCTAATAGCAAAATGTAGAATACTAGGTATATCTTTATTCCCTCTAGTAGGTCTAGCTTATAGCTTATATTCTTAATATTTCTAATAATCTTAAATGGTCCTATTCTAATATAGCCCAATTTTTTGCTTAGCCTTATTATCTTAATATTTTTCTAGAGGAAGTAAACTTTATCCCCCTCTTTAAGTATAGGTGCCCTAAATCTATATTTATTATAGTAAAATACTAATTATTATAATAGAAACTCGATATCTCTTCGTAGTTCTTAGTATATATACTATATTTCTTCCACTATTAACTTAGCTAATTCTACTAGAGTCTAGACTTCTTTTAGTTCGTAGAATATCTAAGCGTAGTATCTATAGTTAGTATAGAATAGAGTTTATTCCGTTATCTTATTTACGCTTATATTATATACTAGCTATACTAGTGGTAGTAATAATACCTAGTTTATTTATCTATAGTCTATATAATCTTTTAAGTACTACTCTAGTACTTAGTTTATACGCTCTACCTATCTATCTATTTATAGATAGTAAGCTGTTAAAAGCTTATAGGCTAGTTCTAGCTATACTATTAGCGCGGTCTAAAAATTCGATATAAATAGCTTGTCTCTATCTAAAATAACTTCTTTAGGTAGACCTTATATTACTATTACATTCTAGAGGAAAGTGTATACTAGCTCTTTAGTATTAGATAATTCTTTATATAGTATAAAGCGTACTTTCTTTATTAATTAGTCTATAATAGTAAGCACGGAGTCGTATTTCACCTTTATTAAAGGTTCTTTAGAAAGAGGTAGTTTAATAATAAAATCTATAGCTACTAAAGCTTATAGCTATATTAGTATTACTACTAATTTTATTAACCTATATAGTTTATACTGGGTTGCCTTTATTTTATAGTATAGATTATAGGTTGTAATATATTCCTCCACCTTCTTCCTAAGTTTTAGGAAAAAGTAGGTGCGGCTAATTGCTTTAACTATTTTAAAGATCCCTCTATATTCCTCTATTAGATTATTATAATATTATCGAATAATCTCTATCCGCTAGGCTAGTAGTATATATACTAGGCTCTTAAATAATAGTAGACCGTAATCTATTTATTTAAACTCTTTAAGGTCCTTAGAAAGTGCTCTCTAAGTATAAGCGTCCTATATTTATACTTTCTATATCTGGTTCTTAAGGTTATTATTTATAATCGCTATAGTAGCGGCTAGTATACTTCGATTATAAGTAATTTTTTTATTTAGATACTATTCTAGAATTGAGCTAACTATCTAGAGCTTCTCTCCTATATAATCTAGTCTTCTATTAAAAGCGTCTGCTTTTACGTTCTTAGAGCCTTTTTAATAGTGAATTTCGAAATTGAATACTAATAAATCTTTAGACTATTACACTTATTAGTGGTTTAGCATCTTAATAGTGGTAAAGTATACTAAATTCTTATAATTCATGTATACTTAAATTAGATACTTTACTTTCTTTAAATATACCCTCTATTACTTAAATGCTTTAATAATAGCTAGTAGCTCTTTATTATGGATTTTATAGTTTAGTTCTAGTCTACTAAACTTTTGCGAGTGAAATGCTACTAGATACTAATATCCTTTATTATTTTATTAATTTAAGTATACTTCTATAGCTAAGTTGGAAGTATCCGTCTTAATAATTACCTTTATTAGGTTAAATATTATTAGAACTAGTTTAGTACTAAACTATTTTTTTAGAGTGTGAAAAGTATTATCTACTTCTTTGCTCCACTAGAATCCTTAATCTTTCTTTATAAGATCTATTAGTGGTGCAATAATTTAGGAGTAGCCTTATATTAACTTCCTATAGAAATTCGCTAGTTCTAGAAACGATTATATATTCTTTACTAACCTTAGAGTAGGCTATTTAAGTACTACCTACACTTTAGTTCTATTTATCTAGATACCCTAATCCGTGATAATATACCCTAAGAACTCAATCTCCTATTAATAGAATTAGCTCTTCTTTAGTATAATTTATAAGTTCACTTATTAGAGTGCTTTTAAGACTTATCTAATATATTATATATATTCTTCTCTAGTCTTTAAATATACTAGTATATTATTAAGGTAGATAACTATAAATACATCTAAGTATTCTCTTAGGATATTATTAATATATACCTAAAATGTAGTAGGAGTATTAGTAAGCCTAAATAGTATAACTAAATACTTATAGAGTCTAAAATAGGT